AATTAGCATCGCCGGGCTGAGGGTTGGCGCCAGTCAGGCGTCCAAAGCGAGATGCAGAGTCCCATGAATCTACCATGTGGCTCAGAATGTAGTTGTGAAACTTGGGATATGGTAATAATGCTGAGAGTAAGGGAGGGAAGATTCCCATAGGGCTGTAGGAGGCAATGAGTGTTCGTAGGTCTGCGAAAGCCCCAAATAAGACATAACCTGCAAGTGGGTCTGGTACCGATGAAGGGTTACCGAATGTGTATCGTTCAGCGACGCCGGCTGCGACTGCGGTTCCAAGGCTTTGCCCTGCAATGGCGATGCGGGATGGGTGAATGGAAAGCGGTGGCGAGGTGAGGTAGTTGATCACTGCGAGCGCGTCGGTTATCAAACCATCTTCGGTCGGTGACCCAGTGGATAGGCCGAAGCCACGATAGTCGAATGCGATAACATGTACGGGATGATCTGGAGTAGATGCTCCGAGGAAGCTACGATATACTTGGGGACGATAGCCGCTTGCAATATGAGCAGCATTTCCATGGACTACCATAAAAGCGTAAGGTTTCGATATAGTTGATATGTGCGGACTTGATTACAAATGGAGAACAGGAGGAGGGTTTGAATTCAACGGGGTGGCATACGGTTTACAACCACTCTTGCGTTGGGATCTTCAGTCAAAAGTTTGAACGTCATGGTCTTGGTCACATCTTCTGCAGGGCCGGAAGAGGCATTGGCAAGAAGCAATTCTTCATATTTTTTGCATAGATACGGAGGGAGAATGTGCCATGCGTATAGGTTTTCATTATCCGGGGTGCGAATATTGAAGGGCTGGACCTGGGATTCTGCGATTGTCAATGCAAAATAGGTGAAATAAGGGAAGAGGAGCAATGGAGGTTCAAATCACTTAAGAATCCAAAATACTCTGCATCATTGACATCCTGGATATATGTAGGGTTGAGCTTGTGCATATAGAGTGCCCTAGCGAAGAATGGGATGTCAGAAAAGTAATATGCAGAGATTTGCTGGAATTGACTCATTACAGCGCAAATAACATACGCTCGTTGAATATAAGTATATGTCAATGAAAATACACCCAGGACATATACGAGGCCCGCAAAAGCCAGGAACCAGTAGGCTTTCTTGAATATCGGGGCGAGCTCCATAACCCTAGGTCTTTTAACTGTGAATTAGTAGCAGGACAGGAAAATTGCAAATACCGAGGAATGCTGTTTCGCAGACATGTCTATAAAGATATACAGAACGAGGCCCTAATAGCCCATCCATAAGAGACCGGACGCGCTCCAGATGAGAGCGGTGCACAAAAGGGGTTAAAGTGTTCCGCATCACAGTAACTATCCCACTGTATGAAAGACGAGTTACAGGAACGCGCCACACAAGTTAAGATGAAACAACCGATATCCAAGATCACGACCTAAGTAATACGTACCGGATATTCAAGAACGATCAAGTAAATTGTCTAGCTCCACTTCTCAAACCTTCGTAAGGGTTGCTAAACAGCCAGTCAAAACCCAAAAACAAAAGCGATACTGGATGGCTTTTCAAAAGAGCTTTGAGCTTGAAGTAGACTCGGCTTGAAGGTCCAAAGGAATGCACTGCTACCTCAGACCTCCGTAGATCCGTTTTGGCTAAAAATCCGATTCCACGAGTTTACATTTCTATTCTTCATTCTCAGATGGTTTGTTGGTGTTGGTTGTTCCGTATCCTGAAAATGTATGCTGACATCCACTAGATATCCGGAGCCGCTTGGTTGGTCACGTGGTTTGCGGTTGATCTCCGTTCCGCTCGCAGGTTCAGAACGACAGTTCTGACAAAAGATTTGGACAAACCTCTTTCACATTCACCCCATCCATGGTTCGCGGTGGAACAACCCCATGTACAATATCCGATGCACTTTTAAATGACGACGTACACGTTCCGATCGTGTTCCAGGCAACGCGACTGAATCGCTATGGGTGAAAAGCGGAAACTCCCTCCTCGCGGTGGGGAGTCCGCCGCCGCAAAGAGGAGGGTCTCGGAGGCGGCTCCTAAGCGGGATACAACTCCATCCAAGAGGAAGGCTTCTGCTACCCCTACCGTCCCTCAATCGCCGGATCCAGAGAAGAAGGCTCTTCCCACAAAGATTAGAGATGGAAGCCCGCTGCCCACGCTTTCCAAGCCCCAACAAAGCTGTCCTTCATTACGGGAATATCAGTCCTACGCGGAGAGGTACGCGCTTAGAAACTCCGTCTTGCGGCTTATTTTAATGTATGCTAAAGTGGGATTTTCCGTGCTGATTTTTTTTTTCTTTCTATTTAGTGCTGTGCTGGCTGCGGCGCTCCAACGATCGAGAGTGAAATGGCTCAATGACTGCATTTTTGAGAAGTACTGGACCAAACCCTCCAAGAAAAAATTGCAGCCCCAACTGGCACAGAACCCTCCACGAGAGTCCATGAGTAAACTAGGACCTTGTAGCATCGTCATCGAACCTCACCATTTTGAAGTTATGCTCTATACCGTACGGAATCCACAAGGCCAAGCGCCGATTCAATATGCACCTCAACAGCGACCTCTTGTTCAATATGCGCCGCCAAACAACTTCCATCAATACCAACCCCATCCTTCCCCAGTCCAGCCACGTCAGCCTTATTCTCCGAATTCTCATACTCCTCCAGCTTCTACCCCTCCTGCCCAACGGCCACCCCCACAGCCCCCACAGAATCAGTTTGAACAACCAATTCAAAATACCTCTCCCGCTCCCGCTCAAGCATCAACTCCACATGCACGACCTGAAGGACCAACCTCCCATTCGCAAAGCCGCCAGATACAAAGTCAACCCCCTCAAGCCCGCCCTTCCCAGGTAACTCCGATGCAAGACCACCCCTATAAACCGCCACCGGAGCCCCCACAGCCCGTCAAAACGAGTCCAGATCCTGTCATTCAGATGTTAGCCACTCGCGCTGCTTCTAACCCAGAGTTGAAGGCGTTAATGCGGGTTGTGGCATCGAGCAAGGCGAGCCAGGCGCAATTGCGGACATTCCAGGCTCACATTGATGAGTTGAATGCTATTCTTGCTAGCAGAAAACAAGCTGAGGCTCATCATAACCCTCCTCATATAGAACCCCAGCAGCAGGGACAATCTCTCGCACCAGGCCCACCTACAGTTCCAGCGCAAAACCCAGCTCCTCCATCATCACATCAGTCTCACTCGGTTTATTCAAACCAACCAAACGTTCCTACCCCCACTCCACCTGCTCGCGCTTCTTCGTCCTCATATGCTTCATACGGGCACCAGCCACCTGCACAGCCGATCAGATCTAAAAATACTCAACAGCCCCCGCCGCAGAATACCCACTTTCACCAACATACATCATCTCAACTTCCAGTAGCCCCCCAGAAAGTAGATCCAAAGGCAGTTGTATTTGAGTTTCTGGCACCTACTCCAGCCGGTAATCATTCTAGTCATTCAACGACTGGGGATAGATATCTCTTCCCCGCAAATACCATCCTTGACTATTTCCCCGGCGGCACAACCGTCATCGCATCATTTCTTGTTATAAAGAAGGTTGATCCTTCTGCCCCCCCGCCCATTTCGTCGAATAGTGCTACTGGCGGGAAACGAAAATCCAAAAAGTCCAAGCTTGCATCGGCAACAGAAACTCCAGCCCCCACGGATACATCAATCAGTAATAACACCCCTGTACCGCATCAAGGAACCCCCAATCCAGAAACCCAACTTCCTCAAGCTGATAAACACATTACCGCTAAGCCCGAAGCACCAACGACAACAACAACCACAGAAGGAAAGCCTCCCCCAAAACCGAAGATAAAAGAATATTATCAACCCGTAACCATGCGTCTACGCGCCAACAATCCACGCACCCTCGAACCCTTGGCTCGCGTTGTCAACCCGCCTGCCGAAGTCCGTCAATACATGAATGATATAATGGACCGCATGGAGCGAGCTGATATCGAATATCTCGCCCTCCGCTTGCCGCACGAAGGTGCCACTCAAAATGGTTCTGGTGATGAACCAGCACAGCTAATAGGCGACCAGCAAGCATGTGGTGTTGGGAGCAAAAGCAAGGGCCGTGGGGACAGCGGGCCGGAAAATGGCGTGGCTGTCAAACAGGAGGATGGTGGTAATATTTTACCTAATCAAGGGGATGATGTTGAGGCTGTGGAGGTTGAAGAGAAATTGAAGGAGTTTTATGATATGCCTAGTGGGATTGTGCCGTTCCGGTGAAACTCGTTTGATGAGATTCGAGCGCAAGGAAGTTATCCCATTGGTTCCCTTTAATTTGTTTCTCACTGAATTATGGGAGTGTGGAGACACGATGTATTATATGCAGTATTAATTTTATATTATAAAATCTCTGGCCTTTTTTTCATCTTTGTTTTTTCTTTCCATTCTGGATTGCGTGGGGACGTGCCTGGGCACCAACATCCGCCCTATCCTATCCATAGATCTTAAGGGGAAAAGCACACGACAGCTGAGAGGGGTAATTTGCTGACAGTTCACCGTCATATCATCGATGCTGCAAGTTCTCTTAGCATGATTCCGTAGGATGGAATGATTTTTGGGACTTTTAGAGAATAGAATGGCTGCTCATAGCATTGATATATCGGAGAAAGGTAGCCATTAAAAACCGCCAATACCACTGATCTTTGGGGGGGGTTTCTTTTCTCGCAACAAAGTATCCCATATATATATATATATATATATATACATCTATATATACGGGTCAAAAAATGAATTATCAAAAAATGAATAGTACAAGTAGAAGGGGGGAAAGATAGTTTTTCACATCATACACAGGCAGGAAGAAAGCGTTATCAGTTTTAAAACTGACAGCTGAAAGAGAAGATATGGGAAACTCAAAGAGGAAACACTCTGAGAATGCAATAACAATAATGTCACATACACTCATTTCGCATTGATCATTAGAAAATCAGTAACCATGAAAAGAAAACAAAACCACTGCCAACATCTTTCCTAGCCAATCGAATCCACCTCCCTACCTCAAGTGCCTTAACCCCGAATATTGGGAATCCCCAACAATCCCTGCCATTTCGAGCAGCGCCCTACCAGAGTGCTCCTCTAATTCCCCAACGCCCACTTTCATATTAATCACCTTTCTGCGTTCCGCTTCTCGCGCCTCAAAATCCCATTGTGCGCGCTGCTGAGTGATAGCATCTTGTTTGTCGACAAAGGAACCAGGTGAATCAAGCTGCGCGCTGAGGGATTGAGAGGGAATAATGCCCCACACCTCAAGGCTATAAATCGAGATGGATTTTGTGGTGTTATGGTTTGAGGCAGATATGGATGTTGTTGATGCTGCTAGGGTTGTGCAGGAGACGCTTTTGCTGGCGCTGTGGGCTGAAATTCCTGGTGGGAGAAATACGCCTTCCCCGTTGAGGCCATCAGATATCACCAAAGTGGCAACTTCCAGGGCGGGGTCGATGAGGAGACTGCCGCCGCCGCTGGGTTTGGGAAGAAAATCAGCTCCCAGGGATTTTCGGGAGGGTGGGGGGATTTGGCAGCCAATGGCGATGCCAGTTTTGGTGGAGAAGTAGGTTACGGGCATGTTTGGTTTAAGAGAGGAGAGGGAAGGGGAACCCTGGAGGACGGTGTGAACTGGGGATAGCTCGAAGAGACAGGGAAGTGTTGATTGATCGGGAACATCGGACGACCTCCGGGAGGAATACGATGAGGATTGTTTCCAGGGTTGGGGGAGATAAGCTCCAATGGTGGTTATTTGTTCTTCGTCAGATTCTGATGTCACTGCGCCCTTAATTAAAAGTATACTCGGAGCTTGCCATGTCATGACATGGTGGGAGAAGGACGTTAATGATTCGCCATGCTCTGTCGAAGAGAAGACAGGATGGAGTCGCGTCCGATTGCGGAAGATGTTCGGAATTTGAGCAGAGGTCGAAAGGAAGAATGATAGATGGGACAAGAGGGCTGGGTTTAGAATGGAGGAGTCAAAACCACCATTTAAGATAACGGGGGATAGGGGAGGGGACGATGGAGGAGTTGAAGGTGGCGTTGGAACTGGCTTAGCTGCAGGGTCATTCTGGGACTGGGAATGTCGTTTTCTAGTGAGGTCGAGATTTTTACTAAACAGGAGATGCTCAAACAGAGGGGTCAAGGGGTCGAATAGGTACGGGAGAGAGGTTGATATCAATTCGGAAAATGATTTATACCCAATGCCACCCTCTAAATCGTCCAAGGCCAACGCAGCAAGAATGCTTTCTACCTGTTCATGTACTGTCTCTAGAATTGAACTGCTTAACCCTGTCGTATATTTCGAAATTGTTCCCAGCGGTCGAAGTGGAGCTGTGACCATGAGCAATGCTAATAGTCGCCGGAAGGTATTTATAGAAATCTTCGACTCATAGACAGTTTTATCAATCCGTTGATCGTGTTTGAAAATCTCAATCGCATCTAGTGATTCCAGGGCCGCAAGAGCCAGGTCATCATCATCTTCCTCTCCATCATCGTCATGAGCAGGTTTATCGACGGAAAATCCCGTAGAATGCGTGAAGGTGCGATCAGAGCCAGGGCCAGCCTCGCCAACCGACTCCATCGAGTCTTCTGCGGCTTCTTGGAGTTGAACAATGATATCCCTCCGCCCAACATCCGCCAGACTGCCGTAAAGTAGCTTAACTCGATCCTTTCTCCCTCGTCTCAAAACTTTCCCATATCTTTCGGTAAGAAGCACAATCACTTTTACCATAGCTTCGAATGTCAATACGCTTGGTGCCATGGTGTTTTGAAATGGAAACGCCCCAAGGTATGACACCATGCGAAAGATGACGGGTCCAGCATCGAGAGATCCATCACTGGTAACATATGCTGCCGACCCTGCGCCATCGGGGATACCCAAAAATTCTGATAATATCTCTTCATTCCAATAGCGAATGCCTCCTTGGTCTAGGGCCCGAGAGAAGAAGTTGTCTTTCAGATGGGTAAGTTCAAGTGGGGTGAAGCATTTGTTTGCGAAGCGGTAAGCCAGACGTTTGCTCAATTCCTCGACTATAAAGTTTTGTTTTTGAACAGTTAACATACTGCCAACATCCCTACCCACTCCGGTCATAACAACAGATGAATTTCAGAAGTAAATCAAATAGGAATGTGGAGGCATGCGGTGACCAGACAATAGGAACAAGAGAGCTAACCGGAGGTTGTTTTCTGGCCCGGGCCGTTGGTCGACTGAGAAGCACCCATTGTTTGCGCAATAGGAGCAGCATACAGAGTCAATTTCAAAATCATAGAAACACAAGGGCTTTCATTGGATTAAGATCTGCCCTCCCATCCGGCAAGCTGAAAGAAACTCGTGTGTCGACACCAGATACCTGGTGGGTAGAAACAAGATTAGATAAGGATCATGCAGCTCATCGAAAGAGCAAAGGAAGCAGGACGGCTCGGCATATGCGCAGTGGCGGATGCGTCGCTCTACAGGGATACTCTGGCCACACAAGCTCGACACAGCAGAGGTTCACACAGAGAGAGATATATAAACGATACTTGTATCCCAATGCCAGGATGGATCATTCTTATGCTTGGCCCAAATCTCAAATACGCGCTTACGTAATGAAATAGAGGCAAATGCTGGACCACGTGATGTCGGATGAATGTTTATGCCCGCAAACTGGTCTTGGCTAAAACGTGGCTATGTACATATCTTTAAGCGCACGTGAGAGTCTCGACCATGAGTGGTGCTCGGGGGGGTGGAGTAAAATGTCGAAAAGAAGCGATTAAATTGATAAATTGACAAATTGTTGGGTTTAATTGACTCAAAACCTGGGTAAAATGGGGCGACAGTTTGGATATCAGAATGCACATTTTGATAATAACCATTAGCCTGTAGGAAGAAAATCCCCAGAGCCAGATCCATGCAAATTTTTCCCACCTGGTTACACCATCCACTATAGTCCAATCTAATGCGGTTCGTTTTTATGCCATGTCATGTAATATGCAGCCCCCACAGTCACTCCGAATCAGCATCCACCTTTTCCCCATACGGCCCTGTCATGTCCTCTCATTTTCAATCTTGCACCCCAACCACGCCTCAGCTCAGACAAGGATGACACCAACACCACCACGGTTCCGCGGGTCGGGGAGGTTCTTCTCGTTCACTCCTCCAGGAATGGGTGCAGTCCTGTAGTTGAATAGATAGTAGTGGAGCTGGCCATCTCCAGCACCAAACTTGAGTGTTTCAAGGAAAAGTGGATTGTCGTGCAGAGTCAAGGCGTTGAAGACGTCAAATTTTTCCTGTTTCCAATTGTTAGAATTATGGTCGTTGAAAAAGGGAATATAGCGTAGCTTCTGAGATGGAATCACCTTCTTAGCAAGAATCAACACGTCGTTCACAATCAGCTGCAACCTTTCCTTAAGTCCCTTTTCTTTCTCTGCAAATGCAGACTCCGTCGCATAGTAGTAGAGATAAGCCGCTCTGATATTGCCATGTTTCGGGTTTTGGAGGACGGTGGATTCCAGCGAGTAGAATGAGACGAAGTCTGTGATTTTATTTGTTTCTGGATCCTCAACGACATAGCTCCATACAACCCGTTCCGCATCGGGTTTCTCTTTATGGAGCAGTAAATGATCTACTTCTTCTCGGCTGAGAATCTGTGAAAGCTCAAATCGTCGGAGATATCGATTCAACAAATCGTGAACGGCGTCAATGTCCTTGCTTTCCATTGGTCGTAGACCTGTTGTGGAAGTGCTGCTTGGTAGATGGTTCCTCGTGACCTGTCTTGCCTTGGTCGAGCCAACCGGCAGGGGCGAGAAGCCAACTTCGTGCAGCTTCAGCCAGTTTAGGGACCGGTGATAATAGCGGCATGCGCTGACTGGTGTTGGCAACATGATGCCTACTGTATATATAGCCTGGTAGATACCTTTCAGATAACAACGCCGGGTAATTTCTTTGATGAGGACCGGTGTAAGTCTTTTTGCCCGAAGTTTCTTATGTATGCAGAGAAAGTTGATTTCAGTGACTTTCAGATGATTGCCGCGCACTACAATGTCGGCGGGGATACCGCATATAGACGCAACGAGCTTTCGAGACTTGGTAGCTCTGACACCGACATGCCATTCTTTCTTCCACCCGGGAGCTTTTAGGGCCCTTGAAGTCATGTTAGCATCATCACATAAGTTTTCAACAGCGGGAAGGGAACCAGATAACAACGCACCAATTCAGGAAGTCACGCGAATAGTTAAACCTGAACATAGCACTACCATCCTCCACATAGTGGTTGGCCAATAATTGATATAGTTCCTTCAGTTCCTCCTCATCATCTATATCCAGCGTCACCCATTCGAACCCCTCAAGGAGTGCATCGGGCTCCTTCGAAACCTTATCAGCATCAATTACTTTGATTGGGCCGTCAGGTTCTTTACTCTCCCTGTCCTCGAACCTGATAACTGGCTGTGTTTGCCAGAATTTAAATGATGCCATGTCCTTTTGATTCCTTGGATTCACAGATAGACCAGTAAGGAGATCCGAAATGTTCATCTGGCGCAGTGCTTCTGTTGCCTTTTCCCTATCCATACCTGCGAGCTCACTTCGCAGGGCTGGGTTGAGCTCTAATAATGATTCTGTCATGCTGGGTGTAAGTTTTGCGGCAGGATTTGTGACAGTGACATTATCGTTCTGTGATTTGTTTTTCTCTTTCTCTCTCTTTCCTAGAGACTTATTAGTTGTTTGTTTGCTTCTGGCGACGTGGTGGGTGAGGTACCATCTGCATCACTAATTCCCACAATCTTCTTATCCTCTTGTTCTGGCATATCTGTTGAGAAATCCAATTTTCAGCAAAAGGTTGGTCAGGGCTCTGGAACAGTTAGAGGCGCTACCAGAGGGTGGGACGGACGCCAGATATACGGGTATACTGCCGCGGGGGAAGACAGCTTGACCGCTGCGTTTGATATATCGAGTGGGAGATGGTTGGCCAGGGGATAGCTGCCCCACTGGAAAGCTTTGTCAGCCAGCACAAGCCTCCCAAGGAATAACCGTAATTCCCCAAGCGAGTGGGCAACCAACTAATTCTTTAAACATCTAGAAATTTTTTCATAAACTATATCAGCAGATGAATAGGATTAAAATTCTTATGAGATAGAAGCTTGAAAGCTCTTCTCACAGTCTAAGTGAAGAGTTTAGATCAACTTATCAAGATCTGCAAGTATAATGATCAGACACCACTATTTTATGAAGAAGCAAGAACAAGATATATGTCATGAATGAGAAAGAGAAGCGAAAGCATATGAAATCTAGCGGTTGAATTCAATGTGAAGGAGCTGCTGAGCCTGCTGAATAGTTTGTCATTGAAAACCCTACACCTCTGCCAGCAGAAGAGCCTAGGCCATACGTATGAGTGCCGCAGAGGTGCAGCAATTGTAACGCACGCATACAAGAATAGGATGTCCTGAACCTAGTTTGATTAATTTAATAAAAAGTGGTAGTTGGGTGTAGATATTTCAGGTTAAAATCTAGTCATTTCAAATGTTTCGAATTCAGGCACTACGTTAAATCACTGTTGTCGCCTATTGTATCTACACGGCGGTATCGATTCCACTGTCCTATATATATGCTTGTAATCTGAAGTAATTTTGGTAAAGCAAGGAATTGGTCAAATCGGGATCTTAAACACATCACAGGATTTGTTGGTGTACATGGAAAGATATGTTGCCATTTCAGATGCAGGATACGCCTTTTCTGACCATAATTAGGCGCAGAAACTGTTCTCATCTCTCATACTATATATTATATAAGGTGTGCGGTACATGAGTGAATAAAGAGCATTATCCTATGAATGATGTAACAAGCACCCCGCATTGCGCCAAAAGTGTTGCGTTTGAGCTATCATGAAAGAAACGATGCGAAAATAAGGGGTATTTGTTGAAAACGCTTCACAGGGAGGTAACAGAAGGAGATTATACACTCATATGCCCAACTTTCTTCTATTTTTTTTTTTTTTTTTTTTTTTTGTGATAAACTAAATTATAGTCAAATAGGAAAAGAATGAGTTTTTCGTCAAGCCTACGTGGTTTCCAAGACCTCCAAAAGTCCACCAGCAAGATGCAAACTACCCGTAACAAGTACAGAGACTGCAACTTCATCACCAGCAGCATCATCTCCTTCCCGGCCCTTAGCCTCCGCCCTCGCAATCTCTCTGACAACATCCACCGCTTCTTCGATGGTAGATTTCGTCAGCACATTGGTTAATGGAGATACCTCCTTCCATGCCTGCGCCAGCGCCTTTTGGACACTGAGCGACGCCACCTCTGACGAGTTGGTGTTCATACTGACGAGGTCGGGTCGGTATCCGGATTGCTTGAAGGTGACATTTGTGCAGAAGATAGCGTGGGTGAAAGTAAGGTTTGCGGAGTAGAGGGAGAGAGTATTATGGAGGGCGCGGGCGAGGCCAACGCTGTCCCTGGTTTGTTGGTTGAAAATGAGGATGAGGGGTTTGGGCCTTGAGTTCCTTAGGGATGGCAGCAGTGAGGCCTGTTCGGAGGCGAACCATTTCCCCGTTGCCTCTATGCTGTCCAGCGTGTGGCCGCCGTCAATGTGCCAGGCGATATTCTTCTCAAGGCGCATTTCGCAGCGACCACCTAGCTGGGTGGTTTCTAGACCTTTTTTAAACTTTTCGGGCAGTGGGGAGCTGTTGATATCGACGGGCAGCTCTTCCAGGCCCCTTGATCTCAGAAAGGAGCCGGCAATGGAAACAGCTAGGTTTGCGTTTTTGTATTGGAATTCCCCTGAAAGGCCCAATCGTATGGCGGCTGGAGCAAGAGGTGTCAGCTCAGGATGACTTGTTACGACATGAAGCTCTGAGACCTTCTCCACAGCTCGATTTTGTAGCACGGTCATTGCACTTTCTGGCTGTGGAACAGTAAATGCCTTGGCACCTGGTTTCATGATACCCGCCTTATTCCAGGCGATTTCCTCAATGGTGTTACCCAGGATGGATTGATGGTCGAGCCCCAGGCTTGTTATTCCCGTCACAACCGGCATATCAATTATATTTGTACTATCATATTCGCCGCCAATGCCACACTCGATAATTGCCGCATCCACTCCTTCGCACATATATGTATGAAAGGCCATAAGTGTCAGGAAGCGGAAATAGGCAGGTTTCCCGGCCGGATCCTTGGGATCGTTACCAGACGCAGTAGCTGATGCTTCCAGTTTATCCCATACCTCAAAGAAGTATTTCGCAAACTGTTGTTCGGAGAGGGGTTCGTTGTTGATCTTGATGCGCTCGCGGACGAATCGAAGGTGCGGGGATGTGTATAGCCCGATTTTCGAGATCGTTGGTGGGCGGGCATCCACTGAGGATTCAGATGATATTGGTAGGTATTGGTTTAGGATCGAAGATATGAATGTGCAGGTTGATCCTTTCCCTTTTGTCCCCGCGATATGAATAATATTCAATCGGTTAAATTCAGATGGCTGTGATTACGAGCGAGTTAGTATTATTCATCATCTAGGTATATCGACTAATGTGACCCATGAAAATTGCATGCGCAAACGGTTTAACGGTAATAAATAGAACTATTGCGAAGGTACCATGGGATGAGATGGGATGTGAATATGTAGAATCGGAAAAGGGTGACCGCACACCTGATATCCTATCTTCTGGCACCACTGAATCATCTCAGGTATCGCTTGACGATTCCTATTCGAACCTCTTGTTCGGACAGCATTAATCGTGGCAAAATTTGACTGTAGAGAGTTGAGTGCTGCGATCGCATCCTATACATAATCGTTCATTAGTTCTTGTTCTTTTATCCCTTTTTTTGAAATTTGTGAGTCAATCAATCGGTGTCATCAAGTAGATCGATATCGCAAAGGCCTTTGCGGGAAATGGACTAACCTCATAGCTACGAGCCATTTTTGCAAAGTTCCTAGCAAAGCACCGTGCCAGGACTTGAACCTTTAGAGTTTTGAAATTCAGTTGCCCTCTGGAGGGCATGCCCATTAAAGTTGTCAGAATATGCCTACGAAGGTTGAGGTAGATAAATTGCGGGTTAATGAATTTTTTTGATGGTGGTTGGTAAAGTAATGTGCTGCTGCTGCTGCGGCTTGGCACTGTCAGGGACCAGGGGCTTTGCTGGATGGACGACGAACTTTTGCGGAATTTGAGTATTTACTGACTAGGGAGTCTTTTGGAACATAACAAGAAATAAGCTCAAGTGAGGTGGAAAGTATTAGGTCCACACATGTAGAAATACTGTCGAAGAATATTCAAGACCTCCTCTTGGACTGAAGGAAGTACACCAATGAGCTAACAAAAATCTGCGCAAAAACTGAGTACCCATTTTTAGTCGGTATCTCTCCTAAGTAAAAGTAACAATTAAACTAATGAGCTTTCACCAAAGGGGTTGTCGTACAATGAACAGCGCTAGGAGGGGATTAATTGAAGAACACGCGGCAAATGAGTACGAGAGCTGAAACGAATATTTAGGACTCTAAAGTCAAATGAACGAAAGAAAGAAAGAAAGAAGCAAAGAAGTAGGAATGGATTAAAAATAGTTTAAAGGTGCATTCAACAGGAAGTAAGCTCTATTCAATCCTTTTCTTCCCTTCCTCCATATATCCCATCCGCGCATTGCTGAATCCACGGTGGTGTCTTCCCGGGGCAGGGACGAATTTCCCAATGAGTTTGTCGTTGTGGGCGTGCGCGAGGGCATCCAGGCAACCCTCTATAGCTGCTGCTGGGGTATTTAATTTAGGCCAGTTGACCTGTTACAAAAGCAAAAGGGAGTGTTAGCGACATGTATCTTCTTCGCGAAGGTGTAGAAGTACTCCTGAGTTAAACTTACATAAAGCATCCCATGGGCATATACAAATCGCAAACACCATACCGCAACGGCTAACCAGAATACGAAGAATAACCTCAATGGCCAGGCTGCAGAGTCTGGAAGACGACGACTGAAGGTAGCCACGAAAATCATGAAGATGCTTGCACCCAGTATATATGGAACTGACTGGATAATTATTGGCCTTCGATCTGCCAATCGGAGGCTGCCACCAGACGTAGAATCAGAAAGGAGATAGGCACCAAGGAAAAGGTCAAAAGCATCTTGCCTTGGGCCATCGAAGAAGTTGTTCCGGACATATCTGATGAGTGAGTTCCTTCCATCTTGAAGCATACCGGCCTTTGTCCGCTCTCCAGTTCGTGTAAAATCAGTCTTCAAAGCCCCGGTGCCTGAATACGACTTGGAGACAACGTCCGCGTTATCCGCCCACATATTGCGGAATAGGAATTCGAACATTGGGTCATCACTGGCTGACTCTCCTGGTTGAAGAACGCCGACGTCGACGAATTGGCGTGTCAGAGTCCATCGAGCAAGCATACTCTGCACCACGTTCGTTCGATCTAGACAGTCCATGCAGTTTGTGCGTACGACACTGGTTTGAAGGGTCCGGATATCCAATGGACCGGAGCTGTTGCCTGGTGCTTCGATTCCTCGGAAATATTGACCTTTTAATAGCCCGTCGGTTAGACGGGTCAGTAAAAGTTCAGCCCGGTGCCATTTTAAACCCTTCGTCTCGTTATGGAAATCAAAGTATACGTAGTGAAGACGATCCATTTCCTGGGTATGCCGGGTCGGCTCCACAGTGTGTAGTTTCTCGGGGGACAAGGCGTCAGCGTCTGTTTTCTCAGTAGAGGATGTGAGTAACGTGCGTATCAACTGCTCGTATGCGTTTTTAACCTTCTCTTCTCTTCCCTTCTGGTTCACTAGGTTGACAAGGTAGTTCTCGCCATAAATCCGGATTTGTTCGGCGAAGTGTCTTCGTGCAGCATTCAGTGCGACATCCACAGAACGCACTTGCAGATGAGGAGTGTAATGTAAATTGCTAATCTCTGTCCAGTAAACCGGGACGCTGCCTCTAGTTTGCACGAAAGACAGCACCTGAAGGTCTTTCCCAGCATTCTCTCCCAATTTCCCGTTTCCCATTCCAGAACCCCCGAACCCTGCCATGCCACCAGTGGCATCATTCAGAATAACAACCTGCTCGGTTTCGTTATAATTAGAAACGTGTCCCTGCTCATTGATTCCGCGTGAAAAGTATCGGGTGCCAGCCCGATGTCTGGATCTTCGGGTTATCAGCGCAAAGGTGAACGGTGTAGATTTGACTTTGGTGGCAGTAATGTTCATCATTCCGAAAATGACGGGCAGAATGAATGGATCGACATCAGAGAGCTGTCCATATCGCACGCCTGTTCCATCGCTCACCCCCGATCGAAAGTCTATTAAATCTGTTTGGATGAATCTGTTCCAGAAGAACCGGTCGTCTGCTCGTTTCCACATGGGGAGGGAGGGATCGCTTTGCGATTGGCGCTGGAAACTGTTGGTAATATCCAAGGAGTATGAGAAGTATATTGGAGCCGCACGGAGAAACTGTTTGAGTAAATTAAGGTATGCATCTTCGTCAGGGTCATGGAGGGGTCTCTCTCGTAGGGGGAGAAATTCCGTTGCAACAGCTTTGTAAACCATATGACCTCGCAATCTGCCCATGGGTCGTGTCTTCGAAATCACAATGATGTACTTGTCTAATTGATAAGTTAGCGCAAGCACCCAGCAAAAGAGTATCCTTCGTCCTATAGTATTAATAATATGACTAACTGTAACTCACCCAGCTTCAGTTTGATGATGCCTAGGATTCCAGCGATGCTTGAGACGCGTTTTGCGCCATGGGCGGAAGCTCTCTCCAGTCGCAGCTCTCCTGTTGGGCGCTCAACAACCAGCGTGGGCGCAGAGGCCGAAGAAGGAGAGCAAAAGGCATAGTGAGAGGGTGAAACCAGCAGATTAATATCGCGGAATGGGAGCGACGTGGACATTGTGACTGACATGCTGACCGGAAGAGGGGAGGGGAATATGTAGCTGAATTTGCAGGGCAGTGATTTTAACTATATTGCCGCAGAAATTTACGCATAATGCAGGGAATCCAATGGACAAGCAATGCGATCCCTTGTCTTCTCGTTAATGGTCTAATCTAATATTCTATGTTGCTGGTAGGAAGAGTGAAATTGGAATTGCTGTGTACTGCGTGTACTGCGAACTCTTATTATTTAAGGAAATAGTTTGTTGGTCATGGCGGTTGGGGGTCGTTATGGTGAGTGTGGCTGAAGCAATCAGGCTGGCAAATGCTCAACCCGGCTGGTTTTTGATGTTCGTCATCCTGGCAGAACCGACCGAGAAGCGAACAACTCCCCAAAAAGCAAATGCTGCCACCATCCCGACATTTGCTCGACGCCGCATCTCCCACCTCTGTTGCTGTCTATGAACCACTCTACCTGGCCTGAACTATCCCTGCTCTGATAGATAGCTCGCGATATTCTACGGAGGACCAGTTCACCTCTTCTTTAACACCCTCTCCATCTCAACCATAACTTCTCCTGTGTCATGGCTTCAAGAGCTGCAGCTGGCGCCCGTCCAGGTGCCAGGTTTGCCCAGTTCAAGCTCGTTCTGCTAGGTTGGTCTCTTCTACTCTCTCTCTCTCTCTCATCTTCGTTCTAGACGAATAGCTACTGATGCATATTCCTTCTTTTAGGAGAATCCGCTGTTGGAAAGGTTCGACCCGAAACCCCGTGGTGATTCAGTTGGTTGCGGGAATAAAATGCTGACTAAATGTTACCTACCAGAGCTCTCTTGTCCTTAGATTCGTCAAAGTGAGTTCTGAGCAGCTTCCCTGCGCCTTGTATATGGATTAAAAGATGAGATCGGATATAAGTGTCGATGATGTGCTGATGTTTGTGTTTCAGGACCAATTTGATGATTACCGGGAATCAACAATCGGTGCAGCATTCCTTACGCAGACCATTTCCCTAGATGAAAGTACAACTGTTAAGTTCGAGATATGGGATACTGCTGGTCAAGAAAGATACAAATCTCTAGCACCAATGTATTATCGGAATGCAAACTGTGCCGTTGTTGTTTACGATATCACTCAAGTCGTATGTTTCCAATCTCTGCACCATTACATCATTTTGTTATATAGCAAGACTAACTTAGATCGTCAAAACCATCGTTAGTCCTCCCTCGACAAAGCCAAATCGTGGGTAAAGGAGCTCCAGCGACAGGCAAACGAGAATATCATTATTGCCCTTGCCGGTAACAAACTAGACCTAGTCATGGATAGCCCGGATAAGCGTGCGATCCAGACGGCAGATGCCGAAGCCTATGCGCGTGAAGCCGGTTTGCTCTTTTTCGAAACCTCAGCCAAATCTGCAACAAACGTGCGGGAGCTGTTCACGGCTATTGCGAAGAAGCTGCCATTAGACCAGGCTGGACCGCGAAATCTACGGTCCAACCCTCGTCCAGGGGTCGATTTACGCCCAGAGGCTGCGGGGCCGCAAGCAAACAACTGCTCATGCTAGATTGAATAATTCTGTGCTAACTTCCCCCTTCAATGTCTATCTTTCGATTCTTCCACTAGCATTCTATACGAGTATCCTACTTTCCGCCCATACATGCGACTTAAGTTTCCTCCATATACTGCTTTCCTGCGCATGGTCTCTTAATAAAGGACATCTTTGCGACCTGTGACAAAGAGTTGCTGAGGGCAATGACTATCTTGCAACGTGAAAGTGTTCATTAAGGAATCACATTCGCTTTAAAGAATCAGCCGTGTTTGTGGCAGATTTTGGGTAGTTTATAATATCCCTACATGTTGTCTCTTCAACTCTTTTTAACGCCCTCCCATATCCTTTCACTTTCGACCCAAATATTGGCTTATCGTTTTAGTCGACGGCTCTCTATTCTCCATTCTCATTAGACCATGCTCCCCTGATTCTTCCCGTCTTCCTTTTTGTTTCTTTTTTCTGCTTGTCATGTTTTCCATCTTCTTCCTCGCTCGTATGCTCTCCTGGTGTTATTTTGGTTA